CATACTTCAAATTCATCGATAATTTTCAAACCTCTTTAAATATATGAAAATCTATTCAAGTGTTAGAGGTTTAGTGAGAATACTGATCAATTGATTCTTCATATTTACAAATTCGAATACAATAACCTCCTTTTGGGTACCTTTAGAATATCATAGATGTAATGTCTTAGTGTCACTAAAATATCTAAAATTCGTTTCATGGCACTAAGGTGTGATTCTTGAGAGTTAGGTTTATGTCAAGCACATAATCACACACCAAACATAATATCGAGTCTACTTGCGATTAAGTAAAGAAAAGATTCGATTATACCTTAATATTTTGTTATGTTTATGGAAGTACCTTGATCACCTTTGTCAATTTTGATTGATGAGCTCAAAGGAGTGTTCATTGGCTTCAAGTCATCTATTTCAAACCTCTCCATTCTTTTGATAGGGATGGATCATTTTGAACTTCAATAGGTTCTTGAAGGTTTTCTTCCTCTTTGTGTTCATTTCTTGGATCTTCCTTATTATGGCTTTGAATTTTATTTGGTTAAAAGAAATATCGAAACCTATATCATTGTCAATATCTTTCTCCTGATCAAGAGGATTAGTTTCATCAAAAGTAGCATGCATAGATTCTTCAACGACTAGAGTTATCTTATTAAATACTCTATAAGTTTTGCTAGTCGATGAGTAACCTAGAAAGATTCCAATATCGAATTTCGAATCAAAATTTTCAAATAAAGCATTTACAACCAACAACTTTGAAATAGCTGATATTTGGAATTCTATTTTTCTAAAGCTCATTGGGGGGTTTGTGTTTACTTTCGACTAATTGAAACTCTATAAACAATAAGTAGTATTGACAGCTTCGGCCCAAAAGTATTTTGGTAAACTATATTTATTTAGTATGGTTCGAACCATTTTATGCAATGTGGGATTATTCCTTTTACTACACCATTTTGTTGAAGAGTTCTATGAGCAGAAAAAAAAATTATGGTCACAACCATAAGTTTTGCACAAATCATCAAAAACAATATTATCAAATTCTCCACCATGATCACACCTAATGATAGTAGTAGTGTATCCTTTTTATTGTGAACATTTTACAAGAATGTTCAAATGCATTCAATA